GACACACACTGACAACATACAGTGCGATCGTATTAGATGCGCTGTGAGGGTGCCTGAGTCGAGGCTGAGTCAAGCTGGGTGGTGAATCTAGAAGTTTGACTTTTGGAGAACCTGTTGCCAGGGTCTGGCCCGAGTACACACTGCTAAATTAACATGGCCCTGATCTAACATGGCTGAACCCCCAAAACAACAGCTTATCTCCCCAGTGGCCACTTCCTCAGCCCAGTCCTGGATACCTTTCCCATGCACGGGGAGCCCCCAGTCAGCCCCCCATGTGTCACTGAATCTCCTCCCTCAAACTCCTCCCCTAGCGAAAGTCCAAAAATCTTAGCCTTCCCTTCTCAGGTCAGAAGGTCTCCCCAGCTCCCTGCTATCCATCCTCTCAACGGCAATAAAGGCCTTTCCCTCTCCTTGTACTCCTGCTTCTCTGCCTTGTCAAAAACCTAACACCTGATTTGTTGTTTTGTATTTTGACACGTGGTCCCCTAAGGTTGCCCAGACTGGCCCTCAAACTCACTCCTGCCTCAGCCTCCCCAGTGCTAGGATAGTAGGTATGTGCCACTATGCCCAGCTCAAAATGCCTGGGGTGTGTGTGTGTGTCTGTGTGTGTGTGTCTGTGTGTCTGTGTGTGTGTTGTCTTTTTGAGACAGGGTCTTACTATGCAGTGCATGCTGGCCTTGAGCTCACTTTGTAGCCCAGGCTGGTCTCTACCGCCTAACTATCCTGCCTCAGCCTCCTGAGTGCTGGGATTACAGACTTGTGCCACCGTGCCTGGCCCTTAAGTGCCTTTTTAACCTTGTATTCTAAAGGGAAACTTTGTATAGAAAAATAGAAGGCACTATCACTTGTAAACAGACAAGTAACAAAAGATATAAAATGAACGGATACGTTTAAGATAGTATCCTCTGCTGCAAAGGCTGAGCTGGAGGTCTGGTCTCCACTAAAAGAAAGAAAAAGATAAGATAAGCACAGACAGAAAGGTGTTAAAGGGCTTTTGGCAGCCACGAGGGCTTTCTCCAGGAGCCAGCAGACGTGTTGAAAGAATTGGAAAGAGCCTAGCGGGTGTGCCTGCGCATGCGCCCAGCCCGTGATCCTCCTGAAGTGCTGTACTGAGAGATCTAAAGAGGTAGATGCGCGCTCTGCCCCGTCACTGCGCAGACGGGGAGCCACCGCCAGCCCGGCCTGGCCTGGGAGTGCAGCCCGAAGGTTTGGGGCCACTGCAGGAGAGGGGCAGCATGTGGAGGTCTTGTGACCCCTTCTCTCCTCAGCCAGGCCCTCGCGGTGAGTTGCTTACCCCCACCCCGTCCGCACCGACCTGCCCTGCACCTAGTTTACCAGTTCCTGTCGCTTCAGGCTCCTGCGTCCCAATGCTGCCACGCTCATCCTCTGCACCTGGCGTGCTGGTCTTCAGCTCCGCAGCCTCTCAAGTGATATCCTCGCAGGCTTGAATAAGTAATCAATAATCAGCCAGAAGTGGCCTGTTCCCCATATGATACGGCGAGAAAGGTTCAATTGCCCCTCCCCGCGCTCCGGAGAGTCCTGCCAGGGTGCCAGGGCATTTATTATTCAGCAGTTTTGTTTGTACTTCTCCCAGGTTAGGTACTTTCCAAGCAATTCCAGTCCTACCCTTTATCTGTCCACCAGAAGAAGTCAAAGCATCCAGGCCCTCTCCTCACCCACAGCCTGCCATGCAGTCGTGGCCAACTCAGGGCTTCTCTGCAGCCAATTCAGAGCTTCCCCGAGTCCCTCTGATAGCTGGCTCTGTCATTCACAAGTCAGGAATACGAGTGTGCCTTTTTTTTTTTTTTTTTTTTTTTTTTTTTTTTGCGGAACCAGGGACTGAACTCAGGCCCTTGCACTAGCCAGGCAAGGGCTTATTCTACTGAGCCATCTCCCCAGCCCGCAACCATTCATTTTGTTATTCATTTAGTATTTTATTGTTGTTGCAGTCCTGAGGAAGGCATCCAGGGCCCTGCACCTGCTAGAGCTACACCCCCAGCCTGTTATATTTTTATAAGGGTTCTTGTTCTACCCCGCACACCTCACCAGCACTTTCTCTTACCTGTCACAGCAACCCAGCTCCCCACACGAGGCAGGCTCGCTAGTGTCCTTTGGCCTGGCCAAGGTCACAGAGGCCCACAGCAGCAGAACTGGAATTCACGTCGGATCTTGCCCGGTCTAAAGCAAGTGCCCGCATGCGCATGCGCACGTGTTTTAACGTCACCTAATGCTTTCCCACCTACAAAATGGAAAGGAGCCTCTGCGACATCAGCTCTGCTGTGAGGATTAACTAAGAGGAGATCTGTGCAAAGGCCTTTATTCCCTTATCCACGCTGCCCAGCTCTGCACAGCGTCATTATTCCCTCAAGGTAATTACCCAAACACCAACCTTCCATTAGCATAATGAGGAGCCTGGTGAATCTTTTCTTAATCTCTAGGCGACAGTACTGTCTGAGGGCAGGGGCTGAAAGCATTAGGTCCAATCTGAACCGCCAGGCGCCTTCCTGTGCCCAAGCGCGCCCAGGTTTCTTTTCTCTCTGGGGTTTTTCTCTCCCGCCTCTCACCCCACCGTGCTCAGGACCGTGGAATCCTTTTCTCCTTTTGCGGGGGCGGGAAGGGGAGCAGTGCCGAACCACCTGCGAAGGGATCTGCCATGTCCAGCTTTGAACTCTGACCGGTTATCTGGCTGTTGTAAAGGCAGTCAGCAAATGGCACGGTTTGGGTAGAAACAGGGCCTTGGCTCAGTGGACACAGTCGTCGCCCCACGTTGGCTCGCCTGGCAGCAGGCTGGCCTGGGGTGCCGCCTACTCTCTTGCATAATGTAGGAGCCAACGGCAGGAACAGAACACCAGCAGCAGTGAGCCTGAGCACTGCAGGCCTCGGGCACGTCGGAGCACTTGCCAAGGCTGACATCTCTGTTGGCAGAAGCTGGAGAGAGGACAGGAACATGTGTCGCCAGAGGCATTTCCTGGGGCTGTGCTGGCTACTGGGCTCATCTTGGTTCTGGGAGTTTTATTAGGCCAGGATTACAGGGTGCAGAAGGCAATCTAACCTTGCTTTAGAATCAACAACAGGGACAGCTGGACTTCTGTTTTCTGTTTTCGAAACACCCTCAGAGAGGGCTTGAGGTGGCAAAGGGTGTGACTGGGCCCCTGGGGGGTTGTGAGGCCTCAGGACCCTGGCAGATTCTGTTACCCTTGCAGCAACAGGAAGAGCCAGGGAAGGCAGCTGTGGTGAGCTATACCAGGTGAGGGGACAGAGGCAGGTACAAGGCATTTGTGGGGAAAGGCAGATGCAGCAGTGTTGTAGGGAATCTGAAGCTTCCGCAGGAGGTGTGCTTGTGTGAGTATGCGTGTGTGTGCACGCATGCACGCGCGTAGGCATGTTGTGTGCAGAACCAAAAGAATTAGGAGTGAAAGAGGAAGGCTGAGGGCCTCAAAAGCTAAGAGAATGCAGGGTGTGGCGGTGTGCAACTGTAATCCCAGTTGCCAGCTACTCAGGAGGCTGAAGCAGGAGGATTGCCATGAATTCAGGGCCAGCCTGGGCTACACGGTGAGTTCAAGGCCAGCCTGAGTTATATAGCAAGACCAAGTCTCAAAAACGACAACAAGGAGCCGGGGAGATGGCTCAGTGAAATAAGCGCTTCCCTGGCAAGCTCAAGGGCCTGAGTTCAATCCCCGGTTCTGCAAAAAAAAAAAAAAAAAAAATGGTGGCTGGGAATGCATGCTTGGGGCCCTGGTTTTAATGGGGGAGGGAGTAAGGGAACAGGAGCACCCGGATATGACAGCTGACAGCATCTACACTTCATTTACAAAGACTTGAGTCACGGAATCAGTGAGTATTGTTTGCCAGAGTCCCTAAGTCAAGGCAAAGGACTAGAGCTTGGGCTACACAGAGAAATCAAGCCAGATCCCAGCACTTGTGGTTGGAAGCACAGCACCTCCAGGTGACTGCGGGAACTCAGAGCCCCCTTTTCTGAGGTTGGCAGTAAGAGCCCATTGAAGCACATCTTTTTTTTTTTTTTTTTTTTTGGCCGGCTCTATCCGCCCGGGGTGGAGGAGGGGCTGGCATGGCATGTGGTGCCAGGGATTGAACTTCAGTCCCCTGAGCCTACCTAAGCTTGCCTAAGCAGCTGCTTTAGACCACTGAGCTATCTCGCCAGCCCCACTGAAGCACTTCGGAGCCCAGGCTTCAGGGATGAAGAAAGGATGTCAAGAAGAAGAGACAGGAAAGGTGTTCTAGACAGAGGAAAGGGCATGTGCACGAGTGCAGAGCTGGGAGCCCCCGTGCTCTGGCTTAGGGCCCCTCAAACGGATCTAAAAGAACTGATCGCCCACGGAATCAGGACAACGTCAATAACACGAGGGCGGGAAGGATGACTTCCGGAGAGCTCTAGAGCCTGCGGCAGCGCTTGGCTCCTAGGGCCAGAGTTGTGAATGAAAATACGGGAAGTGGGTGGGGCTCGGCGTGGCCCGGGTGTAGACGGCGGCTACAGCGCCCCGCTGTATCCTGAGTCAGTGGGAAGCCTTTGCAGCGTACAAAGCAGAAAAGGAACACGAGTGAGCGGGTGTGGGCGGCAGGAAGCCACTTTGACAAGTTACGCGAAGGCTGGTAAACAAGGAGTAAAATTGGAGAAGTGAGGTCAAGTGGGAAAACTGAGGATTCTGTACACTTAAGCAGCTTTTATTTTGGCAGTGTCCGGGTGAGACCCTCAAGAGAGAGTGGTCTCAGCCAGCCTCGGGACTCGGGCGAGGTCACAGCCGGTGGTGCTCTCTCCCCGAGGATGACCTCTCCAAGGTCCAGCATCTGGAGAAGATCTGGCCTACGGCGGTGACGGAGAGGATTCGCTGCTCCTATTCTTTCGCGGCGGAAAAGCTGAGCAGGCGGCGATGCACTCTCCCGGCCAGCGAAGGTCGGCGGCCGGAGAAAAGAGGCGGGAAGAAGGCATTTGGTTCTCGGCGGCCGCCGTAGGCGCGGCGCTCTGGTCCCCATAGCAACAACGCGAGGCGCCAAGATTCTGGGCGGTGCTGGAGCCGCGGCGGTTTAGACCCGGCGCTGCGCGGGGTCTCCGAACTCCTGGCAGCCCGGAGGGCGCAGGTGACGGGACCTGTGGCGAGGGGCACCCAGGTGTGGGGACAGCGACGATGCATGGTCAGGGCCGGGCCGGAGCCTGGGAAGGCGCCGCCCTTGATTCTCCCTCCCTTTGGGATCAGAAGCCATTTCTGGGTCGGGGAAGTAGCTCAGCAGCACAAGCGCCTGCCTGGCAAGCGCAAGGTCCTGAGTTCAGACCCTAGTACCGAAAAAAAAAAAAAAAAGTAGCCATTTCTGGGCCTCAGCTTCTCTACACGAAAAGTGGGAGGACAGTGGGCACCCCAGCTGTGGCCCACCCAACCTCTGAGCCCGAGACCTTCTCTCCCCTGCAGCTCCTGGACTGGCTGGCCCTGCCCTGCCCCATGGACGTGAGTCCACCTCCCCTCTCTGCAGCAGCCCCCTCCGCGTCCTGACCTGGGAAGGGGGCCTTTGCCGAACCCAGATCCCCCAGCTCTCCAGAGCTGTGAGAAACACTGCCAGAGATGGGGGGGGGGGGGGGGTCATTGCTCTTGTATGTTAAGGAATTTACCGAGTCATCTAGTAGTCCAGGAGCTAGACAGCAACAGCTGCCTGGGAGTGGGAGGACAGACAGATGCGCAAATATAGGGCTTCCTTGTGGCCGGAGGGTGGAGAAGAGAGAGGAGTGGTAGGCAGGGCTAGACTGGGGGCCCTGCCACTGAAACGTTTTCTCTAGTCATCCTGAGCCGCTGGTGGGTGGTAAAGAAGGGATGGGTGCCCTGGACGGCTGCTGTGGAAAGAGGCAAAGTTGCAAGTGTCCAGGCCAGCCAGTAATGCGGGCAGAGGGTAGGTAGTGGAGGCAGAGACTGTTTGGAGAAGCATTCTGAAAAAAAAAAAAAAAAAAAAAAAAAAAAGTGATAAATCTCAGAAGATTCTAAGTGACCAAAGCTAAAAACTCCTTAGTGGCAGTGAAATGGGGAAGACAAGGTTTGGGGGATGAGTCAGAGTGACACCCTACTGACCCTCTCCACCAGCTGGTGGTCCCCCCAGCCTGCTGTGTCCTCGGTGTTCCTGTGTTTCTGCAGCCCTCCCTTGTCACCCCTTCCTCCTGTTCCGATCCAGGCCTCCTCTAGCCCATGGAATCCAACCCCGGCACCCGTCAGCAGCCCCTCCCTGCTGCTCCCCATCCCTGCCATTGTCTTCATCACTGTTGGCATCTATTTGTTGCTCCTGGGCCTAGTGCTGCTGACTAGGCACTGCCTGCTGGTGAGGGGCTTGGAGGGGTAAAGGGTGGGCTCTGGGGAAGAGGAACCCGGATGAATTGTCCCCCTCACCTACAGGCTTTTACCCCAGATGCCCTTGCCAGTTAGTTTTTGCATGTGCCCAAGTGAGTCCCTCCCTGTCCCCAGTCAACCCTTCTCCTGCCCCTCTCCTAAAAGCAAATCTCAGCTGTCCCTGCCTGCTGCCTGGCCCAGATTCTGAACCCCGCCACCTCCTAGGCCCAGGGCTGCTGCACCGACTGCAGCGCCCCCTGCAGGAAGCGAGGTGCCTCAGAGCCCCAGGACTGTTGCTGGACCTGCGCTGAAGCCTGTGACTTTCCTCTGCCCAGCCCAGCGGGCTACATGGATGCCTGCTGCCCCCGGGCCAGCGAAGCTGTGAGTGCCATTCTTACCCACTGCCCCCAGAGTCCTGATCTAGGTTCCATCTGTGCCCTCACTTCACGATTATTACCGAGCACCAGCTCCAGGGCAGGCGTGGTTTCGGGTACTACCTCATGTGGAGACAGCCAAAGACAACATAAACAGGGCCAGCCAAATAGTTTAGCGGGTGAAAGCACCAGCATACAGCGCAGGGACCAGGGTTTGATCCCTGGGCCTGCTGGCCTCGCCCCTGGGGCAGGCTAAGACAGGGATTGAGACTGGGTGTGGTGTCACACACCTGTAATCTCAGCTCTTGGGAGGCTGAGAAACAGAAAGGATCACTACAAGTCTGATCTATGTAGGGAGACCCTGTAGACCCTTCCCTAAAATACAAAAATAAAAATAAATAAAAGATAGTAGTTGAATGAAAAAAACTTGACAGAACACCTTCTGCTCAGTGAAGAAGTATTATGTCCCAGAGAACAGTGCCACTTTGTTGGCACTATTTTCTCAAACGCCCCGAGGGGCTGGGCACATAGCTCAGCAGCATGGTGCCTGGCAAGCCTGATGTCCTGAGTTTGATTGCCAGTTCCAGGAAGAAAAAAACAAAACCTGAGAGCTGGGTATTTTTTAATGTTAATTTTGAATTAATACATACTAAGTGTGCAAGCTGAATATTTAAAAAATCATTTTCTTTCATTATACCAAGTATTATACACAGTGTATACATATAGAAGACAAAAAAAGTACAAGATACATGATTCAATTTTTATTATTATTTTTTAGGACAGAGTCTACAGGGTCTCATTGGGGTTTTTTTGTTGTTTTGTTTTTTTGTAGAACCAGGGATTGAACTCAGGTCCTTGCACTTGCCAGGGAAGTGCTTATTCCACTGAGCCGTCTCCCCAGCCCGTACAGGGTCTCATTGTGTAGTTCCAACTCATAGTGAACCTCCTGTTTACAGCCTCCCAAGTGTTGGGATTACAGGCACGCGCCACTATACCCAGTCTCAATCACCATCTCAGGGCACCCCGGGGGCAGGGCCGGTGCCAGCACTGCAGGCCCGGGGATCTCCCAGCCCCTGTGTCTGCCTAAGCAGGCACTTTAGTCCACAAAGCTATTTGGCCGGCCCTACAAATTACATCACGAACCAGCTCTCTAACCCATAGTTGTTCCTCATACATTAGCAGATGTCCCTCACACAGTAATCTACAGGCTCCCAACTGCTGTGCTTTACTATTATTTTGCCAAAACAAGAGTCATGCCATATTGACTGCTTCATTACGCTACTTGCCCTTTAATCTTGACATCATCCCATGGATACCTCCCAGGCCTGATCATACACACAACTGATATGGTGTCCCTTCTGCAGAGGAATAACTAGCTAAGAGGAGTTTGGTGGCGCATCCAATGTCACCCAGTAAGCCTTGCATAGCAGATTGCTCCACTGTGTTAGCTGCAGCAGAACCCCGAGGGGAGGAGCCTGGCACACGGGAGACAGGCCCCTGCTGCATTTGTGTGCTTAATGATGTTCAATGTGATCGACCACCTTCCTGGACGATGGTTATTTTGGGCTCGGAGATTTAGACAGCAAAGCTCCTGCTTCTAGGGATTCTCTGGGAGGAAGGGGGCGGGGCAAAAGCCCAAGCGCCAGCAAATTCGTATGTTGGGCTACTGTGCTTAGTGCAAGGGCCTGGCAGGTGTTTGGGGTTTCGAAATAAATTGTAGGGCAAGGAGTTTTCTTTCAAGTAATCTGCTTCTGGCTCCCTAAGGGTAGCCAGATGGGGTCCCAGGGTTGGGGCTGGGACAAAGGGGGAAAAGGAGAAGTTCTTAGGTTCTAAACATTCCTGTCCTACATGAAATGATCAAGTACAAAATTTCTGGTCTCTTGTCCTGGAAACACAACCCTTTTCTCTTTGTCCACGTGACATGAATAGTTGGGTCCACCTCCTCCTCCGCAGAGAGGGTGAGGTGCGCTCTAGGAGGGGCTGGCTCCCCACCTGCCAGTGCAGGGCCCTAGGAACTTCCAGAGCTTTCCAAGCCAGACTCTTGGGCTCCTGCTGGAGTCACGAAGGTTGTGGAATGGCTGGGGGTAGGGCAAGGTCATTCTGTCCTTGCTATGACTTTTCTCGAAGTGCACTGAAGTCCCTCTGTTCTCCTGCTTCCTTATAGCAGCAGCAGCAAGCACAAAGGTTACAAAGCTCTTGCCTGTTTTATGCTTCGAGACACTGAGGCCCATAGAAACTTGAGTGACTGGCCTGAGGTCACACGGCTGTGCTAGCTGGACCACAAACCTAGAGCTCTTTTCCTTTCTGGGGAAGAATCTGCCTACTCTGCTGGTCTTCCTGGGACACTAAAGGTCTAACGCCTTCATTCATTTAAACATTCACTCATATACACTATATATATATATATATATATATATATATATATATAATTTACTTAAAATGTATTTAGTGCAGGGTCTACAAGGTCTCACTACACAGATCGGACTTGTAGTGATGCTTCCTGTTTTGCAGCCTCCCAAGCACTGGAATTACAGGTGTGTGCCACCACACCCAATCTCAATCCCTGTCTCAACCTGTCCCAGTGACAGGGCCAGCACAGCAGGCTGGGGATCAAACCCTGACCCCTGTGTCTGCCTAAGGAGGCGCTTTAATCTGCTGAGCTATCTGGCTGGACCCTCATATATTATATTTATGGTCATTATTGAGGCTCTGTGCTGGACCCTGGCGGCTCAGCAGAATCAAATAGACAAGATTACAGCCCTCTCTGGGCTCACACTCTGGTGATGGACAGAGATAAACAGGCAGTTAAGGTGTGAGAAAGATGTGATCAGAAGCAGATAGGGGACTTCAAAGGCAGGCGTGACCCTCAGGCCTGTCACCCCCGCTCTGGGATGGGACTATAGTTTGTGGCTTTCTGACAAGCTTTCACACAGCTCTGATGAATGTCAGGGTTAAGAACTGCTAAGGTGCTATTAAACTATAATAACCTTTGCCAAGGGCTCACTGAATGTCAGGTATTATGCTGTTTTCCCCTGATTCCCCACAACGACTCCGTGCCTAAAGTTCTTAACGTTTGTTCCAGGGATGAGGAAACTGAGGCTCAGAGCATGAAGTACCCAAGCCGAGATTCAAACTCAGGTCTTAACTGACTTGAGAACCTGAGCTCTAGCCAGTAAAATCAATGCCAGGCTCTCACAGAGGCAAAGAGACACTTTCAAAGGGAAGAACACAGCAAAGAGCCCAAGAAACGCAAGGGTTAACAGTCTCGTGGAGTCCTTGTTTAATGTATTTAAACAGCAGATTCCTTCCAGAAACCACAGGGCTGCTTGTGAGTCAAGAAGTCCATTAGCCAGTTATTAATGAGTGGATCTAAATCCTTCCATGGACTCAGCCAAGAAATGCTGTTAATACCCTCTTCTGAGGTTAGGGTAGGTACCACAGCCTCCAAAACCCGCAGAGCCCGCTTCACCCCCAGACTGCAACTTGACAGAGGTGACCCAAACCATACCCTCATCAAATACAAGAAAATCACTGCCCCTTTGTTTTTCTCTCGCCCCTCCATCGTGACAGTTCTAGCCTTCTCCCTCTGTAGCCAGTAGCAGAGCTGAGTTCAGATCCCTCTCCCTACAGCTGGCAGATCCCTGCCACTTGCTGGAGCCCCTAGTGACAGCCGATCTCACCAGTCATCTGACACTGCACCCGGAAACCTCAGCTGTTGAAAAGGTCATTTCCCTATTCCTGGCTTGGCTGGGTTTCTGAGCTGTGCAACTGTGACTGTCACTAGCTCTGCTGCTGGCCTGAAGGAGCCAGTCTTCTGTCACTCAGCCATCCTGGGCGTGTCGCACTCCAGCCACTTGGCCTGGCTCCAGTCCATGCCTGGGGCAGTTGCAGATCATCCCTGTCCCACGGCAGCAGAAGAGCAGTGGGTTAGAGGGGGTAGATCTCCCTGCCTGCTCTGAGGACACGATGTTCCCTTTCCCAGAGAGACAGACTTCCTCAGAGCCAAGAGGCCCAAAGACTGGAAAAGGGTATGCTCATATTCGTCTATTCATTCTACATTTGTCTGTATCCCAGACACCTGCTGACATGAGTCCCCACATCAGCTCAGTGGAGAACATGAGACCAGCTGGCCTTGGGAGGCAGTGAGGACAGGGCAATCGGGCCTGGGGAAACCCGCCTTGGTCCATCCCAGTGCCACTTGAGTGCTATATTCTTTGAACAAGTTACTCTGTTCTCTGAGCTTCCTTTCTTTTTTCTTCGGCCGGAACCAGGGATTGAACTCAGGCCCCTGCACTTGCCAGGGAAGCGCTTATTCCACTGAGCCATCTCCCAAGCCCCTTTCTCTTCTTTTTAAAAGTGAGACTTAACTCTTAAAACCATTAAATTTTTGATGTGGAGCCAGCTCTGTCTGCTTCTATATACAAGGTCTGGGCTACGCTCTTTTTTTCTTTGTGTGTGTGGTACTAGGGATTGAACTCAAGACCTTGCGCTTGTCAGGCAAGCACTTATTCCACTGAGCTATCTCCCCAGCCCCAACCATTAAAATTTTGAATATGAGTATTTCCATTTCCAAAGAAAACTAAGTTCTTGAACCATTCATGAATGGGGTCTGTGCCTTGCCCGGAGTTGGTGGTCAGAGTGGAACAACATCGTGCACTGCCATCTCATGTCAGGGAAAAAGTCCCTAAGATCCATGAACTACTTTCATCAGGGCCAGAAAAATGTGTTTTCTGTCTGCTGCCTCCCAATCACACAGGCCATAAGTGTGTGGAACCTTCCTTGGCCCCCCCACATCCTAGCAGGAACCAGCTGCTCCCTATGTGGGGGGAAGAGAGAACTGAGTCCAGCGATTGCTCAGTCCCAGCAACGGTGGATGGTACCCTCTGTTTCTCTGGGCAAATGGGGCTCCTGAGCCCCTCTGTTCCCTTCTCCCCTTGGTGGGAAACCCTGGAGCTCTGTGCCCACCTGGCTCACCCTCTGCCCTCTCCCTCAGGATTGGACTCCACACTGTCCTGGCTGCTGCCCGCTCTGTGACTGTGCCTGTGCCTGCCAGCTCCCCGACTGCCAGAGCCTCAACTGTCTCTGCTTTGAGATCAAGCTCCGATGAAGACCGTGGGGCCCTGCCATTTGGGGAGAGGCCAGCCCCCAGGCTCACGTGCCCCCCGTGCCCCCCTGCCTAAGGGCGCTCAGGACACCTCTCCAGCCCATGGGAACCACAAATGGCAAGTCCTGCTCATCAGCGTGGGAGCGCCTGGCTCCCTACAGGGCAGGACTCGAGAGACCCCTGGGCTGGCTGGACTGCAGCTAACGTGGAAGGCTGGGAAAGACGGGGGCTAGTGCTGCAGCAGGGGCCCCTGCACGCTCCCCTTCCTAAGCAGACTATTATATTTGTGGATGAAGTTGGGGGGCACTGCTCACCAGACTGCATCATGGAACTCAGCCAGCCTTGAGCAGCAGGATTTAAGGGTGCCTGACCACTGCCTGTCGAGTATTCTTAGCTATCTGAGGAGGTGAGTGTCCGCATCTGCTCCTAAAAATCCGGACCTATTAGGCTCCGCTAGGCAAGGGAATCCAGAGGGGGCAGAAAGGGCCACCCCGGCAACTCTTTCTCGGTATTCCCTTCCCACAGATCCCTGCTCGAAGATTTATTTCTCTTGACAACCAGGAGCCTCAATCTGGACTTCCAAGGAAGAAATTTTCTCCTGAAGCGACGGTTAGTAGTCAGGGGCCCTCCTCCCCGTAGGCAGCCTGCAGTCTTCCCCCACGCAGGCCCCCGCTGGCGTGAATGTCAGGGGCTTCAGGTTTCCCTAAATATAGGTCTCTGCCGGGGAATCCGTGGCGGGAAAAGGGCAAGGGTTACAGAGAAGGTCGGGGACACTGGTGCGGGGGAGGGGGGCCGCCTTATAACTCGGTCCCGGTGCACCCCGCTCACTTGCTGCCGACCACGCTCTGCCGCTCCTTCAGCCTCGCCGCAGGTGGGCCGCTCGGGATGGGTGAGACCGAAGGGGCCCGGCTAAGGCGGGAAGAGCTGCTCAGACGGAACGGGAGGCCCGCAAAGTCCCCGGGAGACAGATCGGCTCGGGGGTGGATATTATTTTGGAGAAGTCAGATCCGGGAAGACGTTTGGCAGTCAGTGTGGCCCCGCAATCCGTAGCAGGCCAATTTCTGCAGTCTGGTCTCCGTCGCGGCGGCGGGTGACTACGGGCCGGTCCACTGCGGCCCCCGAGAGACAGCGCGTGGCCCGCGAGGCCGGGCCGGCTTCCGCGCCCGAGCCCGCCCCGCCGAGTGGGTAGGGAGGGACCTGCTGGGCGGGGCTGCGCTCCCCGGGGAGGCAGCGCCGGACCTCGGGAGCCCCGCCGCGCCCACTGCTCTGCCCTTTCCTCGCCTCCCCTGCGCGCCAGCTTTGGCCGGGAGGGTCGGTTCCAGGCGCCGTGCAGCCCAGCCCACGGCGAGGCAGGCGGACGCCGGCCACGCGGCTCGGAGGGCGCGAGTCGCGCTGCAGCGCGCAGGCCGGAAGCTGGGGTGCACGAGGCGCGGCCGCGCCCGGGAGGGGAGGGGAGGGGAGGGGAAGGCCGGCCTGCGCCTCTCAGGCTCTCCCACCCGTTTTTCCCACTGCTCCCCAGTTCCAGTTGCTGCGGAGCGAAAATTCTGGCTGAGTCACGGCTCGCCCGAGCGCGCCAGCGGGGGATGGGGTAGGAGCGCGCTGGGGGGGAGGACCGGCCCGGGGGGATGTGGCCCGAGTCACGTCCGAGCGGGGGACGGCGGAGGGATCCGGTTCTCGCCGCCCAGGTTCCCCCTCCCCAAGCGCCGCCTCCTAGCTGTGCATCTCGGGGCGGCCTGACTTGCAATTGGTCGCCTCTTGCCCAGCAAAGGAAAAACGCCGGAGGGCGGAGCGGTGCCTTTTAAAAGGCCGGGCCCGCCGCCTTCTGCCCGCCCCTCGCGCCGCCCCCGAGCCGAGTAGGTCGCGTTCCTTTTGGAACGCTCGCTGCGCTGGTGTCAGTGACGACTGCCTTGTTCGTCCGCAGTCAGCCCGCCGCCGTCCGCCGCCGCGCCACGCCACCCGCCCCCTGGTGCGACAGGTGAGCGCCCCCCAGCCCCGCGCAAGGCCCGGGGACCGCAGAGGAGGGTCTGGGGACAGCGGCAGGTCTGGCGTCCGCGCGGAGACCCCCGCTCCGGCCGCTCCCGGCGTGCCCTACCCTCCCGGGCCCTAGCCCGGGCTCCCCGCCTCTCCACCTCTGCAGGCCGTCTTCCCCGAGTCTGCTGCGCAACGCGGCCGCTCCGCGCTGAGTCATGGCAGGGAGGAAACGAGGGGTGGAGAACTACCCCCGCATTTTCTACCGACCCCCAAGGGCAAAGCGTTAGGGGCCCTTTGACTCTGCGGAGATCCGAGGGGCAGCGAGGGGCAGAGGCCAGCGCGCATACTTTTCCAGGGTTCGCCTAAGGCCGGGGCTCCCCGGCGAGGAGGGGAAATCCCTTAGCGTTTGATGATCAATTAACACTTTACGTGTCTTTCCCTATTTAATGACCTTGGTTTTGAGCCTGGAACAGCTTCACCCATGCCGACGAGAGCATTTTTCAGGGAAGGGGTGGGGTGTTTGTTTGTTTATCCTCCATATCCCCTTGCCGGGTATGAACAGTGGGAATTCGACCGTCACCCTTCCCTGAGCTAGGCTGACCCCACTGCCCCTTCGTGTGTTCTGCCTTTCTCCAATGCCCTTTTCCAAACATCTTCCTTGGGTGGGAGAAGCCTGACCTTGAGATGTCCTTGGAGCCTGGCCCAGCCCTGGGATCCTGGGTAAATTAGAAGGGACAGCCCATTGGTACACTAGGGCTGGGATTTAACCACCACAGATGTGGACATTGGGTTACTGTTTTTTTGGTTTGAAACACAGATCTTTTCTCTTCTCTGGGCCCATTCAAATGAGGATATTGGGCCCTCTACCCTATTTGTAACCTTTAAATTCTAAAATACTCCGGTTCGGTTTTGTTTCTAGGCAGAGTGATCCCATGGCAACGCGCAGGTCAGAAGGGTTCAGCTTCAACATGACCCACCTGTCCCTGGCTTTGGCTTTTTCCTTTTCCCCAGTTGCCAGTGGGCAACTCCACCCTCAGCTGGGCAACACCCAGCAGCAGACAGAGTTAGGAAAGGTACAGGAGGAGGCAGGCCTAGTATAGGGAAGTTGGGTGTAGGGACAGGAAGAGCCCAAGGACCTGCCGGGCGAGGGGCAGGGGAGGTAGGGAATATCCGCCCTGATCTCCACGTCAGAAAGGCCCGCTAATCCTTCCTCCCTCATCCGTTTCCTCCACCCAGGACCTCACTGCCACCAGCACCATGCCCTACCCATATCCAGCGCTGACTCCGGAGCAGAAGAAGGAGCTCTCTGACATTGCCCATCGCATTGTGGCTCCGGGCAAGGGCATTCTGGCTGCAGATGAGTCCACTGGTGCGGTGCAGGCCGGGAGACAAGAGTGGGAGGAGGGCACAGGGCTGAGAGTGGCAGGCCAGTCCCCTTACTTTCTTCTCTGATGCTACCCTCCAGGAAGCATTGCCAAGCGGCTGCAGTCCATTGGCACCGAGAACACCGAAGAGAACCGGCGCTTCTACCGCCAGCTCCTGTTGACTGCTGATGACCGCGTGAATCCCTGCATCGGGGGTGTCATCCTCTTCCATGAGACGCTTTACCAGAAGGCGGATGATGGGCGTCCCTTCCCCCAAGTCATCAAGTCCAAGGGTGGTGTTGTGGGCATCAAGGTGAGAGGACAGGGCCTCGGGATGTGGCAGTAGAGATGGATCCTGGGAAGAGAAATCTGGCAGGGGATGAATCCTGGGTTGGAGGTCTAGAGATTTGGGTGGAGTTGGCTTTATGGCATCTGCTTGGCACTTAATTTCTGGTGCTGGGGTTGAAAACAGGGTCAAATGCATATCATGACGCCCCAGGTCAACATTTTTTTAATAGCCAAATTTTACAGGCAGGATATTTTCCCATTTAACAAACGGAAAACCACTGGTGGTGTGTGCCTTTAATTCCAGCACTCTGGGACAAAAGAATCATAAGTTTGAGTCTAGCCTGGACAACTTGGCTATTTAGAAGACATTGTCACAAAAAAAAAAAAAAAAAAAAAAAAAAGAAAGAAAGAAAAGAAAGGCCCTGAGTTAAATCTCCAGTTACACCCCCTGAGGAAAAAAAAAAAATTTTTTTTTTTTTTAATGTAAAAAGACCCCAAAGAAATGCAGCTGGCCACGGGGGCACATGCCTATAAGCCCAGAATTTGAGAGGCAGGAGCAATAGGGTCACCACTAAGAGGCCAACCTGAGCTACACCTTGTCTTTCAAAAATACATATATATGTGGCCAGCCAAATAGCTCAGCGGATTAAAGTGCCTGCAAGCAGGCAGGGGGGCGGGGGTCGACCTCCAGGGCATGTTGAGATGGCGATTGAGACTGGGCATGGTGGCACAAGCTGTAATCCCAATTCTTATCTAAACAAATGGATCACTCTGAGTCCAATCTACTAGTGGAGACCCCAAATAACTTGTAGACCTTTCCTTAAAATTAAAAAAAAAAAAAAAAAACCCACATAGATAGTTGCAAACCATGACAGGTCAAATGAGATTACAAGAAACTAGGGAAAGGGGAACTCTAGAAAAGAAACGTTGATAGAGATCTTGCCTTCATCCACCTCAACAGGTAGACAAGGGCGTGGTGCCTCTGGCGGGAACAAATGGCGAGACCACCACCCAAGGTGAGAACTGTTTGGCTCTTGCCCTACCAGCCGCCCTTCCCATGCAGGGTGCTGCCCACCCAGGAGCAGGAGCGCTCAGAGCCTCATGTTGGCTCCCACGCTAGGCCTTGTGTCTTCCCTCTAGGACTGGATGGGCTGTCTGAGCGCTGTGCCCAGTACAAGAAGGATGGAGCTGACTTTGCCAAGTGGC